CTCGAATGGATGGCGATCACGACTTTTGACCATGCGTCGCCAAGCAAATTAAAAATACTGTAGGATTCTAGAAAGCATCCACCTGTTTTGGCACTTATACTATGTTGGGCACGTGTTTCACCATTAAAGGCTCATCACTATGTCTTTCGGTTTCACCCGGTTACTCACAGGACAATATATCCGTGTTGTCAGATTACCAAACTGTCATTGTTCTGAGCGACATATGTATGAACAGTCAAAATTAAGGGTATGATTAACTCTACCAGCCAGGAACGCTCGACTGATCGCCATTGCAATGTCGGGTGAATCATTCACTCGACATGCGATGAGTTAAATGATTATCACTCTGCAAAGGATTGGTGAAGCCGAATGGTAACGTGCTACAGATGAGCCTGTGTTGACGAGTCACGTGTTTAACACTGTATAAGTGTCATCGTTCGTTTATCTTATCATTGCCTATTCTATATAGGGTGATGAAGGAGCCCCGAGAAGACTGGCTAAAGACGAAAGGTGTTGCTTAACTGACGAGGCTGTCAAAGCAGAAACGCGTGTACTGGGCTCTATATATTGCCCCTAAAAGACCATATGATATGTTGACTCAAAACTTATTGTAAAGGTATTGATATATCTGACCATACCAGCGAAGAACATTCAAGTGTACAACTCTTAGCATTGGGTAATATTGTCAGTTATTGGCGCGCATATAACGTTCATCGTCTACTGCTCCATGTCAGCGTACGATGTTCTCCCCAGAGAGGGACTGGTTCAGACGAAAGACACCGTGCAACTGAAGACGCTGCAAGAGCCAAACACGTGTGTTGCAGTGCATAAATGTCCATAACAGATCACATGCATGGTTCAAAAATAACTACCAGGAATATGCAATTTGATGACATATTGCGGGATTCCATCACTTGACATGTGGTGATTTTGTCACTGTTTACTGTCAAAGAATCATTTTTGAGCCACGCATGTCATGTGGTCTGTTAAATATGGGCTGTGGAGTACAATAATAGACCTCTTAAAAGGCTCAAGATATGTTATCACATTATGTATCTCGAATATTAGTCGAAAGAAAGGTGAGCATAGAACAGTTCATGATGCGACGGCTCACAACAAGAAATGTCTATCATTGAACGACATGCTATATCCAGGTCCACTTATTTTTCCCGAACTGTTTGGAATCTTATAGCTCCAGATTCGGAAGAATCACAATCACTTCAGATGTCAAAAGCATCTTCACAAGTGCGACTTCATGAGGAAGATCGCGATATCACACACGTCTAGTGGTTATAATTCCTCAAGTACTTCCACCATTTCTAAGCGACATCACAGTCATCCAATTCACCAGAGTCACCCAGTGCATTTGCAGCTTGATGATTACAAGAAGACGGTTTTGCTTGATGTAGAAAAAGACAAATTGTCGTCGACAACTTCATCTTAACCGTATAGTCGCTTGCGCGTGCAAGTCTGCGTTTCGAAATTTTTGAAAAGAATAAAATCTAAGAATTAGTCAGCATTGCCTTCCCGATTCTAGAATTGCTAACAACAAGCAATATCAACTTCACAGCGACTAAGTTCATAAGGGGTTGATTCCCAGTACTCTTACAGCAAATGTCTATGGAGAAACAACGCGACAATGCGGACCTGGTGATTCAGTACATATTCTCGGTACAGTGATACCGTGTCCTTGAAGGATGGATTCCGTCAAGGTGGATGAGACATTTTGGAGGCATATTTGACACATGTCTCTCTGGGAAAAACTTCTTTTTGCAATTCGTTGAGAATATCGGATGTAGTAAAATGATAAAAGGACAGCTCCTGATGCACATCGATCCATGAGGGATGCGCCATAGATTCTTCTTCAATTTTTAACTTCGTCTGAGTTAATTGAATGCATATCTGGCCTTTAAAAGACTCGCGTTGGCTTCCCATTTTATCGAGTGAGCGCTGCTTATTCTCCCAGAGAATTCTGCTATCAGTCTAGTACTAATTTAGAATCCCCGGAGGAGTGGCTAGCTTGGTGAGCCATAAGCGCGAGATCCCACCATCAACTTTGTAAGCGACGCAAATCATTTGTAACCACTATGCCACTTGGCGCTACGATTTGTTTCCCTAACAGTTATCACCGTTAGCCGCATGGGTTTCCTGTTTTAATTCGGACATCCTGATCAAGGCAGCCATAAGAGATGTTGGCCTGCTCTATCGTGGTGAAATTCGGAGTCTTGCTATTTCAAAAAACTTTTGTTTTTTACACTCTCTAAAGACTCGCTAGAAAGGTTGGTGAAATGAAAATTAGAGGTGCATCTTGAAGTATCAGTAATCTGCTATAAAACACTGCGCGTCGCGTGATCTTATCACGTTACAGACAGTGTAAATAATTTGGCGTCGAATCCTTTATATATAGGTCATGCTGAAGATGACGCCATAGGGCCGAAACTTACATGTAGCACTAGAAATGCCAAAACAACCTCTTGAAAGGCTTATAATATGTTAACAGATATTATACTGCTTTAGGCGATCCCCCAAAAACAGTCAAAAAGAAAGGAAGTACAACGCACATTCAACTAGCCAAGAGCAATCCACGGTAAAACACTGCACATTAGGTGGTTTCATCACGTTGATCGGCAGGGCGTCGTGTAGGTCATCCCATTGATGGGGCTGTAAGGCCGGAACGGGCAGTGTAAGTGATTCGGCGTAGATTCCCTTCATGCACGGGGTATGTTCCCTTACAGGTAACTGACTGGACCGAAAGGCACCGTGCATCTGATGAGGCGAAAAGGCCAAATCACGTGTCTAGTTCTTTACAAATGCCATAAAAATCCTCATCGACAGCTAAAAATCTGTTTTCAGGTTACATTGTTCTGAGTGAGGTCTCAGAAATAGTCGGAAGTAAAGGCACAATATTTTACGATTGTTAGCCAAGTGCAATCGAGTAAACAACACTGCCCGTTCGGTGATTTTATCACTCAGCGGGGCGTGTAAAACGTTCAGCGTTGGCTCCTATATAGAGTGTACATCTTCTCGCGGAACTGACTGAACGGAAAGGCATCGTGCAAATGATGAGGTTAAAAGGGCGAACACGTGAATTGCACTTATAAGTGCCATAATAGATAGGTCCAATCTATACGAATCGAGAATTCCAGTAATTTTTCCGCATTTTTTTTGCAGTGTTATGATGTTTCATATACACTTAAGAGAACTGAGTGGTGAGCAAAAATCCTCAGTCTTCGCGTGCGTCTCCTACATGGTTAAAACGAGACTTCGACTCCTGCCTGAGGCCGCATGCTCATCACTCAATTCTCTTACGTATTCTATGAGATTAAACTGTTTTTTCGTTAGGCAAATTTTAAAGCTGCACTCCAAAAGCGAATTGATGTTGACGTGAAAAATGAAAGGTGTAGAAGATGGAGGTTGAGATAAAATGACCTAATAAAAAAGAAAAATATGCAATTCGAGTTTGGAAGGCGATATTGCCGAATAATGTATTCTTGAGCTAATGCTGGAAATTATCGAAACAAGGAATTTTTCGAGGAAAAAAAATTTAAGTACATTATACATTTTGTATGAAAAAAGTAGTGCGATGTAAAAATGATTGAGAGTCTTTCAGTATGAGGATTAAGTTATAGGAGATTTTCGAATACTAGTCAACATCAGTTGATAGTAATGAAAGAACTACATTGACACCGTGGGAGATCGAATCAGTAACCTTTACTGCGGACTGCTCGTCGCATTTCATGCGCCGAGTGGCAGAGAGGAGTGAGATGGACAGCGATTCTCACGCTGGGGTTAGAGTCGCAGAGGAGGAGGAGGACCGTCTAGTCTTCTTACTAGTTAGACGCGCAGACGGTTGGGTCCATGGTCCCTAAGAGGCAATGTTCTATGGCATTTAATGTGTACATAAAATCTACAGCGTCGTCTTTTGAATTCAAAGTACGCTTAGAATTGGAACACTGGAAAAATCCGATAAGGAAACTTCAGTTTAAAGATTCCAACATAAAACATGCAGCTTCGAAGAAGAGCCATATCTTGAAAGATACCACTCCGTTTTACTAAGCAAGAATCCATCAACATGATTGCGTTCGGGCTTTAGATCGATGAGGGAGGATAAAGAGATGTCATGGGTTCCAGAAGAAAAGGATCTAAACGACGAGGTCGGATAGGGAAGTTTTTACGTGAACAAGGAACAGATCTCGTGACTCGAATACATGTCATTGTAATTAATGAAGTTTACAGAGATTTGATACATGTATTTGATTAAAAGCTGAAATTTGCCAACAGGGCTTCGAGTTACTTGGCCTTTGTTGTCGAAAAGTCAACCTGCATTTGGCGTAAGTATCGCCAGAAGAAACCCAAGGCGACGTCCTCTGCTCAGCATCCCGTTATCAACATACCTCACGGGTCCATCCCTCATATCAAAAGGTAGCTGTTACTGACAGACTTGAACGGCAAGCTATACTTCTCTACGCGACATTCTCCGCTGCACCGCCTCAACACCTACAAAGATCACCTCATCGCTCACTTCCCAGCTAAACCACGCACGCCCTGATACAATCTTCAATCGAACAAACCACCTGCTGAAAAGAATATTGCCATCCAGAAGCTTGCGAAATGAAACTTTCAATGAACCAAGGAAAGGATTATGTTGTAATAAATACAATGCGATCATAAAAGGATCAAATATGCCTAGGGAAACTGAGTGGTAAGCAAAAATTCGACCTCAGACGGGAGTTGAACTCGCATTTCACCCATACTTGGAAGCCTGCTCCCACTACACCACCAAGGCGCCGTTTCGAAACCACTATTCTTCCATGTCGCTATCACAGCTACCAGCCACCATCATTTGATAGGTTGGTGGTGCAGCACACATCACGATATAGAACCATTCAAGTTGACAGCCACTGTGATATGTGGTACTCAAGATTTTCCATATGTTTTCACTGCTTTTTCGCAGCGTTTTGATGTTTCAAACGTATCGAAACGCTAGCGAGACGGTGCCGCTGTGTTGCAGTGGTAGCATGGGCCCTCGACAAGGGCGAAACGCGGGTTCAACTCCCGTGCCAGGTCGATTTTTCGACACTCTGACACTCAACTCTTTTAGGTAAATCTGGAACGTCGTAACAATGAGAATAAGTAGTGGAAACACACGAAATCATGATGGAAACGTAACCTTCTCATCGCAGCGACACCTTCACCGCATCTCATACGAACGTGATGTGGTCATTGAAGCACAATGACGGGAAGAAAGCTCTTTGAAAGCAAAAAAAAAAACAGGAAAATACCTCTAACAAACTGAAGAAACCGCACTACAGCCGCGCTTCGCCTCTGGAACAGTCGCGAATTAAATCCGCGCTCGACGCTTGTGATCCATGCGGTGTCCGCAGTTATGTCCTACATCTATCCGAGTGTGATTGAATGGTGGTGAGATCGAAAGCCAGTGGTGTTCATTCTCTTCCAGTTAGTCTTAGTTTTAGGCATACCCCTCGTCGAAACAAAAGCGAAGGATGTTTGACACTTGCACTGAGTCATATTTCCCTTCTCATTTCGCAATTTCAGAACGGCACTTGACTGGCTTCAATGCCGAAATGTGTTTTCAAACTCGTTACTGTAGTGATAAACTATTAAATGACACCCAATATCCAATCACTCCAATGGAAAAATAGTATGCTTTGAAGATGGAGGTGTTAGTTCAACTATATCAGTCTCTAATAATGAATCCTTAGTGACATAGAGCGCGACAGAAAACGTGCTCCATTCCACCTTAGCATAGAGTATCGTCAAAGGTTAGGGACGTAGGAGAGGAGGGGCAGACAGTCTAACCTTGCCAGTTAGACACACGGAGTGTTGGCCCCTGGAAGCCAAAGGGTTCAAGTTGTCTTTTATAAGATAAACGCGTAATTTCGTACTTCACAGAGGAGTCGCCAATGTTCGAAGTGTTGTGGCGACTGACGACGGCTGTGGCATCGTGGCTGACACTACTGCTCTCGCTGACCCAACTGCCGATATGCACGCGGGTGTAAACATGTTGGGCTCGAGTCAACGAGGGTCAATCCCACGTAAGCGACTGTACTATTCCCACGATATGCATGAGACTTATCCAATGTTTCTTAGAGTGTCCCAGAACATTTTCTTCAACCGTAGTATTCTCCTATAGGCTTAAGCCTGTTTTCATTCTACGTCGCCTAAGGAATCAACCCGAAGCCTAGCTGAGCAAGATGTAACCTCACTTTCGCTTTTCCAGCGCTCTATGAAACCCCTTTCGTAACCAAACCTAACTTCCCACCTAGAGTTATGCTGTGGAATAGCGACTGAAAGTCGCCATTTGGCACTCTTTATATATATATATATATATATATATATATATATATATGTATGTATAATATATATATATATATGTACATATATATTCATATATATGCATGTTTATATATATATATATAAATATACATGCCTCTAATAATAATTTGTCTTTTGAGGAAAGCAAAGTATGTTTAGAATCACTATCTTAGCGTATAATGCACAAGAAAACCCTCTGTGAAGTTATAACAATGCGGTCCGATTGCAAATCACTCGCTGCTGCTACAGAATATGCAAGTCGTTCCGTATTCTTTCTTTTGTAATATAAAACTTTTGACCCATTTAATGATCGCTAATAGTCTAGTGAAAAAACTCTGCTGAGTTAAATGGGGCAGGAAACAGAAATTATCCTGCATGGTGCGAGTGCGTTCCATACAATCCACAATGAAAAGTAGAAAAGTTTTGGGTTTTCTCAGTGTTTTTCACTAAAAAGACGTCTTTATACATCCCTGTTATAACATTCTGCTTGATGATATCGACAAGGTTTGCTTAGAGTCAAATCTAATTAGATAGTACAAAAAATGATTGTTGTGAAGTTGAAAACAAGCATTTCAAATACAAAGCTTTTTAGTATACCTTTCTTTCCAGTGCTTTTTTAAGACCACGCTCAAATTTCAATTAAGCCTTTCATTATTACTTGAGCCAACTTGTCATGTGGTCTGGTAAAGGCTCTTGTACAGCCCGATACACGTGTTTCGTCTTTACAGACTCGTCAGTCGGGCCTTTTTTTTTTCTTTTTTTTTTAAGAATGGAACGTAGTATGAAGGTCATATAGCAAATCAAACGTATCGTAAAATCAGAATTTCCGATGTTATCGATTTACTACAAAAACATAGGCTAAAATGAAAGACACATGTTAAATAACAGTTAAAAATTTCTTCGTTTCCAAAGGATGTGTTATTTCGTTGTAACCTAAAAGTCCACATACATATGGGCGTGTTTTTCCTAGAAAAATGCTTATAAAAGCCATCCAATGATATTCCGTCATTTGTTGATGACAATGTTTCCAAGAATCCTAATTTTTTAAGCAAAATTTCTCAATCCCACTGCGACCTGCGCCGATAAAAATCCGCAATGTCGCAATTACAGTGCGTGGATGAGATCCTAGCTTGCGCAGCATGCTAGGAAACGTAGCATGTTCTCGTGAAAGGCTTGATTCTTTTCTGTAAGGACTCTGTAGTATTCTCCAATCTTCTATTCTTCCCTACCATGTCTATCAGCACGAAGGATAAAGGGTAATACTGTCCGTGTTGATCAACCCCTGAAACATTCGCCGTGCTTTCGTCTTCAGTTTCTAACTTCACTTAAGGTTATTGAATGCATATCGGGCTTTTACAATGACTCGCGGTGGCCTATTGCTCTTTCGAGTCATTGCCGCTTATACTCTTAGGCAGCTCTAGTACCAGTCTGCTATCAATATACTGACCGCAGAGTGATATATGATTTGCTGAGCCTTGAGCGCGAGATCGAACTATAGATTCTGTGTACTCACCTTATGTAGTATGAATTGTAGTGGTCCTGTGTAATGTTCCTGATGTCCACATTCATTGTTTATCGCCCTTAGTGTAGTTCTCCAGGACATACAGCGTAAACTGACTTGGCTCACTTGTGCTATACTTTTATACCAACTGAGAACGTGAATTACCACAATGATCTGAAGTGAAACATCTATCATTAACGGTCAGAATTTGACTGTAAAAGTTTATATCACGTCGATGATGGAAGATTTCAAAGATCAAATCTTTTTTGATTTAAAGTAAACTGATACAGAATCAATGTCGTTGTCTGATCACACGCTGGAGAAGAAATTATACAGCAATTACAGACGTAGCATTGGCACTGAAGCGCAACATAAAAAACCACCTTTCAACTGCCATAAGACGTGCCAGCCAAGTCAGATTCAAAGCTACCAATGCAACAAACAATTCTGCCTGCAAGATTCAAATAATGCGCACAAAAAGTGAGCGATGTTAGTGTATGAGATGCAGGAACAGTTGATTATGAGAAGTGTGATCTGTTAGCTCTGGATCACAAGTTCTGTAAATTGTCGAAATCGGAAAATATGAAGGAATTTTTGACAGACATCAAAACTTTAGGATACTTTTCAGCGTGATTTATGATGTGTCATTTGCACATATGGTAGATTAATAGATTTTTTGACAAGAGTGTAGACAATGAAGTTATGAATTTTCTAAGTCAGAAGCTTTACAGGGCTTTTCGAGAGCGCCATTTGAAACACAAACAGCAGTGGTGTTCACTGCTAGAAGTTATGTTTCAAATATAACTACTGACTTTCTTTCGATCTCCACATAAATAATCATTTGCCATAGGTTTATTTGTGACTTTATACAAATTTCGATTATAGCTCGCAGATCGGCGATGGGACTATCGCTCGTTGACAAAGTTGGCTGTATTTACAGAAATCATAAGTCAACTAAATAGAAGGCTGGGGCAATTTGCACTACACAGTACCCCTAGAATCTTTAAGTATGATGGGATAAAGTCGGTCGAAGCTTCGGCAGGTACAATTTTAGGAACACGCGTTTTGATGAACCACAAGAAAGCTTGCTCATGATAGCGTATAAATGTCCGAAAGCCCCATATGGTCGCCACTACAGGACACACCTCTGAGATCTCAAATCTCTGGCCTCACCATGCGCATCCTTGTGCAATTTTAGAAAATTTGTTCGCCCTCTTCACCAACACTATAATTAGCAAGATGAGAAGTATCGCGCACTATCACGCGCAAAAAGAACATGGTAAAAACCGTCGAGAGGAAAGAGCATCACGGTGAGGAGTGTTGATTTCGTTGTGATAGGCCTCACTATGACGAGAAATCACTTTTACTACTATGTACATTACAATTCTCTTCCTCAACCAACCTCTCACTACATGAAATGCTTCTGATAAATTGTACTTCTCTTTCGTCTCTTCTGGATCCACTCAGTATAGAAAAGGATTCCGTCATAGATCTTCCCATGAGCTACAAGCAAGTGGGCCATGATCTGTAACACCCCACTGAAAGTCAAGTCGTCCTCCAACCAAATGAATCACACCTGGACGTACCTAACTGCTGAATGCAAAAGTTCTCAACTGCGTTGTTGAGCAACTGTGGTTACCTTAACATTTTTTTTACAAAATTTTCTTCACACTACACGTTTTAAATACGCGGGTGCAAAAAACTTTAGATGGATTAAAACTGACCAATAATAACGATTTGATTTGCTTAGTTTCAGAACGGAAAAAAGTTTGAGAATCTGCAAAACGCGACGTTGGTTACAGAAGACTCACAAATTTAGGCATCTTCGACTTCCATTAGCAGCTGCTCGCTTGCATTTTGATCAGTAATACTTCATGATACGGTTGTTTTACGAGAGCATGATAAAATATCCCCAGAAATGAGTAACTTTGAATTCCACCCTCGAGATCGTGTTTTTCAAAGCACAGATCCCCAACTTATTGTTCTAAGCGGCCTTTCTATATCAAGCATTCACTTATACAAAATAAAGAGCATCACGGTCGAATTCACTTCATCGTTGCATGACGAATGAGTAACTGTGTGATTTGTGCTTGCTGATATGATTCCATTACTATTTTCAAGAGTGAACATTTTTCTATATGCATACATTCTGTGCCTGTGTTCGACGGAGATCCCTCAAGAATAACATCATTATTTTGAATTACTTTTGAGAAATCAAAAGTGTCTGAGAAAAATGAAAGTCCCGTAAACAAGTTCCCTTCAAGTTCATTTGATATAGTTCTGTGAGACGGATGTGGTACTGTGATTCAGCGCCGTGAAACATCATCTTAGAGAAAGACAAAATCAGATCGTTTAGGACGCTTCTCTCGCACTGCTGCAGCAAACCTCCAGAGTTACTTCCCATAGACGTCACCACTCATCATCTGCTTTTTGTCGATCAGCTCCCACAACAGCATGTCTTGCCAAGCCCAGAGACCTGGACATAATCTACTGAGCATGGAATTTACCCTTTAGCTTAAATGGAGAGTCTTTGCCTCGAGGCAGTCGTTATGGGTGCCGTGTGTTGTTCACGTATTGCACCCATGACCAATCCCTGGTGATGGTCGACTTGAGAAAGTCGTGCCTGTGGTGCAGCAGAGAGACCCTGAATGTTGGTCACTCGTGCAACGCAGCCGCAGATAAAATCAGCGAATTCTTTGATCGGCAGCTTCACTCTTTGTGGAAGCATGGCATCAAATATTTACCCAGCAAGTGATTGTATAGCATTTATGGGTGACGGTAGCTTCAATGCTGATCAATAATTTCTCTAAACACTTGACATCTAGATGGACAAAAGTGTCGAAATGGTAAAGAATCTATGGAAAAACCTAATATTTTCCTTATGTCAGACTAAATACTGCGATTGGCACAGCTATTACGCCAAAAGCTCGAAAAAAGCAATAACACCTTATCACACTTCATCTGAGTCCTTTAACTACCATGAAGGTGTGCAGCGTAATGTCGAAAGAGAACAAGCAGCTCTCTACGCCAGTCTCGAATATGTCGTTCGCTTAACGAGGCAGTGAAGGCATTAGTTGAAGGATCGTGAAAAGGTAGGGCAAGTTTTACACGATTTCCATTTAGCCTTCCCATTATCCGAATTCATGGCATGATTTTCCAAAAACTCAAACACCACTCTTATCATAGTTTCTCAGTATATTAACAAATGGGATGACCTTATTGATGGTATCAGATTTATAATAAATGCACTGACGAGATAGTTCATGAAGTATTTGAGATCTCCAAAAACTGGATTTCAGTGGCCATGTTCTTCTGAAGACGGGCCTGTAGCACAGTGGTTTGAGGTGTTCTGCAACACAAACCACCGTCAGTTGATAGTCGATGGTTCGGTCACAAGCTGTTTCTTATTGTAAAAGCAGGATATGCAATCACTCACCTCAAATCATGCTATAAATTGATAACAAGTGCATGGCGCACCCCTCAGGAATTGATAATCTCCAAGAGCTATGGCCTTGCATAATTTATGTTCTTTCATGATATTACAAGCGATATCTTCACTCTCAAGCCTCCTGTACGTGATGAGTCACACACATCCATATTTCGATGACTACATATTGACGACCAATCAATTATATCCGAAATTAATTTGATGATGGTAACCATGGGCTTATAAGAAATACCTTGCATAGCTTCTCGGAAGCTTGTAGGATTTCTTCCGTTAACTCGACTATATGGATGTCAAGTTATAACTTATGATCGTGAAGTGATCTTTGTAGGCAAAGAAATGGAACCCTTTGATTTCATGATATCAAGGTGAGCAACGAATAGATTTTATAATGAACAGTAATTCAGTCCACCTTCTTTTAGAGGCAATTGCCCTGGGTGGTCTTACATCTGCGACACATTGAGGCGGAAGTTTACTAGGAGTTCCAGGAAAAAAAGGAAATTAAAGGAAAAAAGAAAGAAAACAAAAGAGAAAGAACAAGGTGTAATTCCTACAATATATCTTATATGCATAGATACCTCTTTCTATCGCATTATTTAATTCAGCCAAGAAGTTTTACCTGAACGGCTTCTCTGTTGTGTAACGCCAACAGGACTATTCTTTAAGTCAATTAGAGGTATCTTATGTATTAAGGCGAACTCAGTGCATACGGTTGTTCGTGCATGAGTTTGCTGTTCGAAATTTGCTGAGTTGTAAGAAATCAAAATTCAAGAATCAGGCTGTAACATTTACCTGACTTAAGAGTATTATTCACAACGAAAATATCAACTCCGTAGCAGGAAAGTGCACACGGAATCGAATCGCCCACTTTCACAGTTAATCGCCACAGAGAATCACCATGACATACGAGTTTGCTGTTCCATTACAAATTTACGGCATAGTAATACCTATGATTGAGACATTTTTAGAGGCACATGGTAGTTGACATATTTTATCATTTCAAAAAAATTGGCTCCTTTTGTCATCGAACAGGTGATTTGAAGGAAAGAGTTTTAACTCGACCGAGAGTCTTCATAAGACTTTGAGTGATCACTCCAAAACTCAAGTCTCGGAGAACTTCTGTAGATAGTTTTTTCTGGAAATGCTCTTTTATAAGTGCTATAAAAAGTGAGTTTCAAACGCGTTGGAAGCTCGGGTTTCCGGCGTTATCGCTCGCACCTTTTGCAGGAAAACACTCATCAGACTGCTAGTAATTTTCACAATTTTAGCGAATACGTTGACGATTTGGTTCACGAAATACCTGGAAATCGCTGGGTATTGGAATTTCAGAGACATTGTCCTTCTAAATCATGGCATGAGCAATCTTTGTTCTTACGCCTCCTATATAATGAGTCAGCCGCATTCCGTTCTCCAAAAGCGCAATTTAACATTTTTCTTAACTACGCAAAAAATACATAACTCGCTCGGCACTGTACAGCAACAGAAGATTGTCCCAGGTGGACAAACGATAAATCTTCTCCATTGTTTTGTGGCACAACACTCAATCAGGTCCGACATCGGGAGCTATCGCCTGGTGATGATGTGAACTGCTAGTACTTCACAACTTGGAAATAGCTATCCAGCGCCTGACCGTCGTTGATCAACGATTTTCTCCGTTTTCTTCATGAATGAGATAATACAAATTGCAAAACAACAATATTATAAAAAGATGATTACTATAACCATTCATTACTCTTATGACGAAAACAACTGGAGGAATTGATGAGATGAAATCGACAAGTCTACAATATCCACACTTTTCATTGCGACGTTCGCTGCAATCTAGCCGATCGCTAGCGCACCACTTTGTCGCTTCACGCCGATAATACTGCAAGCAAACGTCTCATCACCCACTCCTTTTTTACATAAAATACACTATTCAATTCCAGAGAAGGAAATAATGACATAATCGTTGTATAATGGTGTAATGAAGGAAGATAAATTGCTTACTGGATGTTGATCTCGGAAACAGACTGCGCGGTGAGGCTAGTCATTGAACTGAATCTGGAAATAAACTGCAGTACCTACTTTCACAAAGAAGGGCAACGATAAAATATTCGAATTATAAACAGTGAAGAAAAACATAAAGCTCACTGGACGCCAAATTCGACACGAGGGCGCTGTAATAGAGCCTGGCGGGGTAGGAGTAGAAGAGCCGGAGGCTTCCACGTTGTGAATGTTCGTGACTGGATCACCCCGCTGTTAAATACAATATTGAAGACAAAGTGTATATTGACACAACTCGTCATTCATTAAGAAGAAGAAATAAAACAAAACAAATTAGGATTCAAAAGTAAAGAGTAAGATAAAAAATAAAATAGATCAATTGATAAAGCAAAAGGAAAATAACCAGGTAAGAAATAATATTTTGCCTGGATAATGAATGAATAGAAAAATAAAAGACAAAAAAACAGGAAGAAAGACAAGATTTTGCGTGCTGATTTTCAAAGATAGCAATTAGCAAATTTACCTCGCTTCCTTTCGCCTTTCGTGATTGCTTTTCCAAGGTTCTCCGCCACAGATACTCAGGACGATGGCGCTTCGTCTTGCAAAAATATGGCCCACAGGTCCTAAATTTTTCTAATTTCAGAACTATTCTGTTTATAACCAACTAGAATTCTTTTTATTTGACTGCATTTAGCGGTTGTAAGATGTTACAACACACCCAGTGATAAAGAGTGATGTACAAAAACACTGCGTCAGCTGGGATTCGACCCAGATTTCGCCCTGTGTGAAGGCGCGTGCTGAACCATTGCACTACCGACGCCTGTTTTGACATCACTCTTTCATATCCGAGTTTAATGTCAATAGTGACTGCCCACGCCAGACCGCTGACGGTTGGCTAATGACAGATAACGCGTTGTAGCGTGGAAAAAGTGATGTCAAAACGGATGTCGCTAGTGCAACTGTTCAACGCACGCCCTAGGATATGGTGAAATCTGTGTTCGAATCCCAGCTGACGCAAATGTTTTTGCACATCACTCTTTACCATTGCGTATACTCTGTTTATACTTTCGTCACTTAAGCACTTACTTGCACGCCAGTTTTCCTTGTACACGCCTTCTAACAACTCCTTCAGGAATTGTCGATGGGCAGTTATAGCACGTGACCTGAAAAAGAAGCTAACATATCATTTATCTAAATCGACTGATAACCTTATCTTAACAAGCAGTCAAGAGTTCAAACTTTTCTACAGCACCCGTGCAATCACTGGGAGTGAGTTAATTGAACTACTTCCGAAACGTAAAGATTGTCGTCTCAACCAGCACTTTATCCGGGTGTCATGAGGAAGGCAATTATGTGTTTTCAACAAGGGAGCATTTGTCGCTGGAAGATCGGAGATTTCCCGGCATAAGGGCGTTCCCTATAATAAAAAAAAACCCTTCATAACTGTCTGTTTTGCAACATTCCATGATTACGCTTTTGATGAAAGTACCCCTTCAAAACCCTAAATTATCAAACAAATTTCCATTGCAGGTGCGGTTCGCTATGTCATTATGGGGGCACATCGTAGTGAGCAGTTCGAGAAATTTTCGAAAGAAAAACAGAAAACGAAACATCTACACTATTTAATTGAAACAAAATACACTGTTTAAACAAAAAAAAAACAGAAATAACATCAAGCAGAATTAAAGGCTTTTTACATCAATACACAAAGAAGGAACAGCACCTTTCCGTTATCTGAGAGCCATTTCGACCCTTCAGAAAAGTCTATTTCGCGCTTATTTTTGAAGATCATTCGATATCTTAAATCAAAAGAATTTGAACGATCTACTCCATGTTCAAAAACGTCTTGCTATTGCGCCGAAAGTGTAAAAATAATATTTTGTTTCTCATTCAAGGATTTCTCGCTGACCAAAGCTTTCCTTCAGAGCATTAGTAATCATTCGAAAGATCCAATTTTAAAAAATTTCAATGATCTATTCGATTTATAAAATGGCCCTAATCACGTAACAGCCGAAAGAAGACTGGCTTTCGCAAAACTGAACCACTTCTTTAATCCGCTCTTTACTTTGATGACCTCAAAATAACGCATTTTTTGGTCGTTTTCAATGTTCAAATAGCCGTTCGATAGTTCAGATAATAAAGAATTGGCGCTGTATTTCATCTTCAAAAACCTCTTTATTACGCTGAGAGAGCAAGAATGTTTTTTGTTTCTCATTCAAAGACTCTCGCTAACCAAAGCTTTTCCTTTTGAGTTTTTGAAATAATCCATGGATTAGATTTCAAGAATTCCAACGATTTGTTTGATTTTGAATATCGAACTCGTATCATGCTGTAACAGCCAAAAGAAGATTGGGCTTCGCGAACTGGAAAAGCATCGAGTGTGGAACCCCACTTTCTTTTTGTACTCATGAATCACTAAGAAGTCCTCAGGAAACCAAAAACATTATTAGAATCCTCAAAATTTGATCTATCGTTTGGTTTTTCAAACTGTAAGGGAAAGTCTTTGGTCAGCGAAAAATCTTCGAATGAGGAACAGATTAATATTTTTGCAATTTCAGCGCAATAACAAGGCCTTTTTGAAAAATACGCCATACAAACTCTTTTGATTTAAGCCATCGATTGATTATCTAAACATTAGAAACGAACAAAAATTCCTTTTCTCAATGAACTGAAATGAACAGAGGATAGTTGAAGTGGTCCATTTTTTGCGAAACACAATCTTCTTCTGGCTGTTACAGGGTAATAACAGGTTCATGATTAGAGCCATTTGTTGAAATTTGCGAGGGAAAAACTCTGGTAAACGAGCAACATTTCAATGAGAAACAAATTTTATTCTTGCTCTTTCAGCGCAATGAGGCTTTTTTGAAGATGTGATATACCATTCAAATTCTTTTGATCTGTGCTGTCGAACAATTATTTACACATTGAAAAAACCGAAAAATACGTTTTTTACAAAGGGTCGAAATGGCGCTCAGATAACGGAAAAGTACCGAAAGAAGTTTGCAAAATTACCTCGCTTTCTGTACCACATAATCGTTTCTTCAGGAATCTACACCACAGATGCTCCGGACGATGTAGCCCCGTCCTAGCATAATAGTGCTTGCAGCCTCTAAATTTCACAAGATTATTTCCAGAATCTGCTTGCATATGCTCACTTCACTTAGCCACCTACCCACACGCCATTTTTCCTTCTACAAATCTTTGATAGCCCTTTCATCTATTGCAAACTGACAGTTATAGCATGTACTCTAAAATAAAAGCTGTTTCATTGTTCATTAAAAGAATTGGTGACTTCACAGTTAAGAATGGTTGCGAGTTTACAGTACTCATCACCATACTCTCCAGCAATACAATAAGTATGTCCTAACTTGACTACTTCAAACATTGTATAAAACCCTCTTCTAATGTGAAATACCAGATAAATTCCCCTAGTTCTATTCTACTCTGAGCCGATACAATCTGCCCGCCGACACCCTGTGCGGCGCGACGATTAGCGTCCCAAGTTTGTGAACGACATTTCAATACAGGCACATACTCTGAAGACGACTAGGACAAGCCACCACTTCTAGAAGCGGTGCATGGAGAGGAGTCCGTAGTGTCGGACAACAGCCATCACTCTTTGGAAGTCAACACTATGAACCAGTTCAACAAACGTAAAATAATTTCAAGAATCTGTAGTTTTCCATACATGTACATGCAAATATTCGTATAAGCATATGCACACGGTAAAACGACAATTCAATCAAAATATGTATTCGCCTGAATGTCATTTCGTTGCATCATCTGTCTGTCGACTAATTGTCTCGATCCTTCTGATACCTCGTCCGTAGCGGATGTATCATCGATGTCACGTTCCAAGTCCTCCGCATCCCTACAAACAACTTCGGATCATCTTGAACATAATGAACTGAACTCAGCGACAAATGTCACGATGAAAGATAGGTATATCGCAGGAATCCGTAAAAGTCACTTTTGAATATCATCTGACAACAGACTCCTTCGCTCTTCTTCAAAATCATCATTTTCGCAGAAAACATGACGATAGTGAACGGGGTACTGACAAAAAACGTGCATGACACTATAGCTCGTGGACAAAGCTACCGGTGTCTACAACACCCACATGTCAACTAAACAAAAAGCTGAGAGAATTTATACTACACAGTGCCTCTCGGATCTCAATTTGTACAATTTTAGCAACATCCGCTATGATGTGCAACGAGGAATCCTGCTAGTTATGCCGATCAAATGTTTGAAAGGGTCATACAGATGCCGTTTCTTAGTACGCCTCTGAGATCTCGAAGCTCTGGAATCATTAAGAGTGTCCTTTGGGCATCAAGAAGATTTTGTCGTACCTTTTCACTATCATTACAGCAAGCTAACGAAAATATTCGCTCCTTTCACGTGCATGTAGAATATCGAAAAACTGTCCAGTAGGATGAAAAAACACAGTAAGCAGTGTCGACTTCCTTGTTCTAGGCCTCACTAAGAAACCGAATGAAATCACTCAGTTCACCGTGAAATTGCACTTGTTTTCCTCAACCATTCCTGCACTACATAGAGGGTTTTTGACAAACTGTATTCCTCTTTCGTCTCTTCACGATTCACTCTATGCAAGAAAGAGCATTTCCTCATAAGATTCCTATCAGAGCTACAAGCAATCAGGACATCATCGTGTGGTACTCCATTAAAGGGAGCGTATCGTCCTCCAACATTCTCAGTGGGATCTTAACGCCGTATGGTCAAATACCGGTTACACTATGCAAACGAAATGTAAAACCATAAAACTATTATTCTTTATCCTCTACTCTCACTGAAGGTATTTTGAAGATTCATAACTAAGCATCCACATATTACAGAACTTTTGATTAATGGAGCTTACAAAAAAAGTCCATCAACGAGAGATTAACAAAAGAACAACTTCAGTCCTTACAAGATCTATTTGATATTTCTCCTATTATTCCACGACTGGCTTACTACATAGAGTGCCTCTTCGGTCAACACAATATCTGGTAAATTGATCGCAGCTACTATACCCCACATGAAATTGATAATTGAAATTCGAGACTACGCAAAAGTACTGGCTGAACATAGGCACGGCTCTAGATTTCAACAAAGTTGAACATGAAAGCGAAGAAATCTAGGTCCTTTTCCGTCACGCGGCAGGAATTTTTGAAGGGAATTTCTACGCTGATCAAGAAGTTTTCATAAGATAAATTGAATCAGTCAAGAACTTGAATGTGGGGAGCCTGCAAATGTATTTTCCTTTAAAGGCCTTTTCACAGCTCCACGGTATTAAAAATGATATTTCCCACGCGACGAACGCCTTTATTATCACATCGCCCCATAAGCATTGGCACAAAAGCTACGAACCCCAAATTTATTAACCAGAAGTTATCAAAATTGCCTGTTTTGCTATCGTTCAGATGCGTATTTCCTTGCGAATATTTCCATTTACAAATTGTATATTATTGCTTCAAGATGGAGCTAGCTGTCCTTGGCAATAAAAAGCTTTGTAAAAGAACTAGGCACAGATAAAATTGCCGTTATTCAAGTATTGAATGACTACCAAAACTTTAGTAAGAAAAACGTTATCTAGTGAAAAAGTCAAGTAAACACGGACGCAAAATACACTACACAGTTGGAAAAAGACAAGATTGGAAAAAAGGCAAGAATTTCTCGTCGTTGCTACACCTCTTTGAAAAAACGATGAGAAATCGAGCGCAATGTGAGAACCGCACTTTTTCAGCACTCAATTGACAACCCAGGCTTTGTGAAAACCTGTGCTCTGGGTGGAAACGGCAAAAAGGTTTGTGCACTATT